GTGTCGACGAGTTGGCGAACTTTCGTTTTGAAATCCTTGACGTAGAGCAAACAGCTGTTTCCACCGGCTACGGTTGCCGTGAACATGTGCCGATGTGGCCGTCTCCCGAGTTTGTGTCCTTGTTAAAACTGCATGGTTTCCGACATTTTCTGGCTTCATCTCGGTAAATATTATGAAACCAGCACCATTTAGGGTTTTCCACCCTGTTAGGTCTAGTTTTGGGGTAACCACTAGATTTGCTGCGATGCGCCAAAGTGCGTTTGTGTGAAGTGCTATGTGAACTAGGACTTCGAGATCGTAGCAACTGTCTAACAGAGGTGTACGGCTTGGTAACCTCTGGATCCTGGCTCTCTGGTTTGTCGCAGACAGGGTATATGTTGGAGACGGGTCTGCTGGAAATCTCCGGTATTTTATCTGCCAAGGCTGCCAGGTCATCGAGTGGGACTGACTGCAGTGTCATTAACACTGCACCAATTGTGATAGTTTCGAGAGAAATAGTTCTTGGAAAAGGCCATCTTCAAATGTTCGTGCACCCATAACTTCTCGCATGCGTGCGAGGACTTCAGTAGCTGAGTGGCTGCCTAGCTCGATATCACGAAGCAGTTTGCCCAGGCGCTGGAGATCTGTGAGATCACTTCTCTTCAAGAGTGCGGCCTTGAGAAGTGCATAAGGATCACCTACTACAGGACTAAACATGTGTGCCGTAACATACCTGTTTAATTCCCGCGGTAGTGAACGTATGACGACAAGAAATCGAGAATGAGGATCTGAGACTCCCCGTTCTCGAAAATCTGCCTCGGCATACAGAAACCATGTTTCTGCATTGTCTGGCCAATATGGCACGAGTTAGATTGTGTTCGTAGTCGGCCTAAAACGAATAAGCTTGGGAGTATGTTCGGACATGAGAAAGTGTCGTAAATGGATATATAAATGTTGTCAAACTATAAACAGACATAAAATGGAACAGGCTCACCAATTTAATATTTGATGTTGGTCAGGATATGTGATCACGTCCGGCTCGCCAACTTAGGATTTGCCCCGGTGAGAACTTGATAGACGCAAAGACCAATCACTGATTATTCGGACTTGTTATATACCCACAAATACGAGACCAATGAAGAACACGATAGCGTAGTCGGATGGAATAGTATATTTGGGTGGTTGTACCAAGACACCGATGCGTTCCAACTAACTGGCTAGAGTCGAATACGAGCAGTGCAACGTAACACGACAGCGTGCCGGATGGCGAGGATGCCTGACCGGGTGCCTTCAGCTTAGCGAGTCCAGCCAAACCATCAAGGTCAGCATCAGTGTTTATTGTCGTCGAACCCTGGGCTGTTGATTTTGGGGAAGTGTGTGATGCTACGGTATAAATGAAAGCAAGAACCCGACACCGGCGCGCAGTATGCTAATCATTTCTGGGCGTGCATTTTATCCCCTCTCGATCTTTATTCTTAACACTGGTGATAGAGGGCGTGCTGATAACTTGGACATGAAACATAATAAGCTAGGCAAAGTGCCCAGGTCTTTTATTTTCAGTTCTTTAGGGATTCAGGACGCTCTTCCTACAACAGTAATGTTGGTTACGTGGCCTGAATCTTTGAAGTGGCAAGTTGATATCTACCTACGATGTGACGACAATTTGAATCACAACCGACTTCTCTCTTCTTCTCGAGTCTTGTTTCTCATTTTTGTTTTTTATATATACAAGCAACTATGAAAATGAGTGACCCGCTATAGGTAGACAATAAAACTGGGTTGTCGGAAACTTATTCTATCCCTTTACTAATCAACAGTAATTCACAATGCCAAACCTTTCCCCTCATTTTTTTGTGTGACGACAGGTGACCTTACTTTAGCCTTTCGCATTCTAACTAATGACTTAGGCATTGCATGGTCAAGTGTTTTCACTCTCTTCAAGACGGATTAAACTTGAGGTTATTAGAAAACATTCCAAAAGCCTCTGCCCGACCATATTCGAGTGGAATACTGGTTCTCCCACTGATTGATCAGTTACAGGAACTCTGATTCCATCAAATGAGACCTGATTCGTCATAGAGATAAATACTTCAAGGATTAACACAGGCTTATAGTCCGATATCTGCTTCCTGAAGATATTGAGTTGTGGAGGCAACTTTAAATGGTGCGGTGCGCTGAATTCCACATGTAGTGCGTTAAGTTTTGTAATTTGGAAATATTTATTTTATCTGGGTATTTTGGAATTTTTCTGTTTTTTTACTGTCTGTCTGTTAAGACAACTCGATTTGGTTCAAATTCAATAATGCGGTTATCGAAAGCTGGTAGTTTTGAGCCCTCCGTCCAGTTCTTGAGGTTATTCTGTAGCAGATTTAATCGTTCAGTTAAAAGGAAATATAGAAATAAATATTTTCTGCATTCAGAAATGCAGTGCTAGGCGTACGTCTAGGACCCGGCCAACATTTTTGCGGGCAAACGTGGAGTAAATCTAAGTAAACTTGGGGCACTGTTGCAAACCCCACGTTTGCTCTAGGTATAGCCTCTTAGCTTAATCCCAATTGCTTCATAAAAACTGCACTTGCTTAAGTGGTGTGGAGGTAGAATTAGGGGAACTCTTCACACATATATATACGTCATTTTTGCCTTAATTATTTTGTACTGCTTTTTATACCGCATCTCCCGGTACGCATTTGGTGCTGAGTTTGTGTTCTAAATAAATAACAGTTTTGAAGAGTGATTCTTGTTTTTTAAGTACTTCGTAGGTAAATAGGTCACAGCTATTGTTTAACTCTGCATATTTTACTATATTGATTTAAGAAGTAATCTGAGAGTTTTGAATATTAGTCCATGCTTTCAAAGTATCATATGTGTGTTAAAAATCTAAAAACAAAACACTAGCTTGAATCATTCGAAGTGCTAGCTACTCTCTTGAGTTTTCCTGCAAGAAAATGAGTTAGAGATGTTCAGCATTTTGTTTCTTGCTTGCATTCTTTTACATCTGGTTGTTTACACTCAAGGACTTAATTGTGCAGATTTGTGATAAACCGATTGGGAAATCGGAAAGTCCATGCCATGGATAGCATGGCTTTTCCGATTTCAGATTGATATTAAACTGCATACATCTTGTTTAGTGAACCAGGAAGTTCACAGCTCTCATCCCAGACTTCATTATTTGCTGGTATTCTTTATGAGGGTTTTTTATACTGTTGCAATAAATAACTTTCTAATCATACGGATCGTGTTTAAGACTTGTAAATCAAGATGTAGAATTAATTGCTGATAGTATGTCTAAACGATCTGTGTAGCTTCACACTCTAGTATTGAATTGCTACTGATTAAGTCGTCAAATAAACATTTGTTGGTACCTATCCACTATCATTCATCAGTAAAATGCCTGTCCATACGTATTTTTTGTTAACTCTTGTGATATTTGAGTATTTTTCTATGCCAAAGAGTAGTAGGTTTGATGATCGGTTTTTGTCTTACTGTATCAATTCACTCATCCATTGTTTAGATTGCGTGAGTAGTCATTACTTGGTGGCAATCTGACCAGATTATTCATTATTTGATTTTATCTTTCAAAATGAAGTCAATCATATCTTTTAACAGTACTAACCGCCCATACAAAATCATTTTTAGACAATAATTCAGTTGTGCTTATTGATATATTCCTTTTCATGCTTTATATTCTTCAAAGATTACCGTTTTTAATTTCTCAGCTAACATTTTGTAGAAAATACAAAGAGGCTACTGGCTTTTGACCGTAGACAGCTTTGTATCACTGTTGGCGTGTGGCAGAGTTGGTGTTGGCAATTGTAGGTTAGTCGTTAGACATTAGGCAAGGAGGACATGTAAGTCGATGAAGTTGTTAACCCTCACCGACTGAGGTAAATTGAACATGTATTACATATGCTAAGCCACTTTCTGATTGAACATGTAGCGTTAAACAAAGTAGGATTGAGTTGGAAGATGGTTAAAAGTGGTGAAACCAAGACATGACTTCAGTCGATGAAGACTTTGACTGTTTGTCTGAACCGTGCTAGGTGTAGACTGCTAGTTTGGGGTCCCCGGGACGATAGGAACCAATGATTAGAGATCCTTAGTGACATAACTGAAAATCAGTGAGAATGACCCAGACATACGCACTGTTTGTCAATTTCCAAGTCTTAAATATTTCTATTAACTCCAATCTACCTATCCTCTCTCGTCTTATATACTTTTGTCTACTATAGTAGCACACTGTTTCTACACACGTTCTCTTTACATGCTGATGTGAAGTGTGACAGCTTGGGCTGATGCACTTTGCTCCGGGTTCCACGGTGATATGTCTCTGTTCTACCTACTGAAAGGGTTGGGACTAGTAATCATTATCTTCTACAATAAGCAACCCCCTAGTTATCTTTATGTTATTAAGTGTCGTATCCGCCTATCTTAACCATTTATAATTGAAATGCCTCGTCGGTGTAGGCAGTTTACTTCCAAGCAGTTGGTCATGGGTCTGAATTCTGCCCTGCTCACTGTGGTTGGGCAGTCAGATAGTATAGTCAACCCTCAAACAACAGGTATGGTCATTTGTTTAATGCACGTACTTGCACATAATAGTTGAGTTACATATTATTCATTTCAAAATTTGCTGAGGAATTTGTTGAAAGACTTTAATGATCGAATGTTGTCCATTGTAATAAATATTCGAATGATGAAGCAAAGCTACTGCAAACTTAGATTCTTTGCGCTTATTCAAAAGTTGAATTAATAGTAATTGTGACAAATATCAAAATAGTGTTTTCAAGTGGACATTTCTGCTATAAGTTGTGGAAAGGTGAGACTCCTGGTTTCATCTAGGGAAAACCAATGGAAATGCGACTGTGTGACCATTTACACCTCCATGTAACAGACAATTAGCTTTACCTTATGTATGAGAGTAATCTGATTTCCTGTATTTTTCTTATCTTCAGGGACCCTCCTATTATACCACTTTATTCAAGGTAACTGTAACTTTAATTTTTTCATCCAGAAGTTATAATATGGCTGATGATTCGGGTGAACATTGTGTCTTCTTTAGGAAACGTAGTCGTAAAAATGTGCGGAAAAAAGAAAGTATGACTTTTCAAAGAGTTTCATTAATTTCAAAAGGTTCCTCTAGTGAAGATGAAGCGGTTATTAAGACTCAAAAAAGACGTCATATCAACAATATGTTGTTTCAACAGGTTTCGTACCCATGAAAATAATAACACTTTTAGACTTCAAAGTTTGGAGGTAATAAGAAATGTTCATCCGATGATGATGACATAAATGAAAGTAGCGTCCTTGAAACAGTTACATACAAGGCTTCGCATTCCAAGGCAAACTTTATATTCTATTACTAATATTCTTCAGGAGTCTAGGGTAACAAGAGATCAAATGGCAGCTGCTACCTCAGAGATTGATACGGATATGAAATGTGATGCACAGTCCATATTTGAGCGTGCTCAGAAAGTTAATCAGGTACGTTATCCGTTATATTACTATTTTTCGCATCCCTAATATGTTTATAGGAAACTCAAGATCGCAAACTGTATAAAGGAATGAACAACTATGCTCAGTATATTGAGAAGAAAGATACTGTCATGGGAAATGCATCCAGTGGTTTCAACCGTAAAGGTCCCATGAGAGCACCAGCAAATTTAAGAGCCACTGTTAGGTGGGATTATCAACCGGATATTTGTAAAGTGAGTATATTTTGTCCTTCAGTTTCTAACTGCTCTCTTTCTAGGATTATAAGGAAACAGGATTTTGTAGTTTTGGTGACAGCTGCAAATTTCTGCATGACAGATCAGACTATAAACATGGTTGGCAAATAGAGCAAGAATTAGCTGAAGGGGTCTATGGAATCGATGGTGAAGACAATCGTTATGAAATTACTCATAATTCTTCCGGTGATGAGGTTGCTGAAGATATTCCTTTAGTCTGTATGATATGTCGCAAGGATTTTAAGGATCCAGTTGTTACTATGTAAGTTATGAAATGAATAATTGTCTCATTTAACAGTTGCAAACATTATTTTTGTAGTGACTGTGCTCTCAAGCGGTATAAGAAAACTGCACGTTGCTATGCGTGCACAACAGACACTAAAGGATTCTTCAAATTTGCCAAGAATCTGCTTGCACGTATTGCTATTTTGCGTGAGAAAAAGAAAAAACACTCCGATCTAAGTGAAAGTGATCAAGAGGAAGGCGAAGAAATTCATCACCACTCCTGTTCTCATTCTTCCGCACCGTGTAAAGATGAACCATATGAAGAAGATGATAGACTCAACAATAACGATGAAACGGAATGCAACTCTCCTAGCAAAGTAAAACTCCCACAATCATCTGAACCGAATTGGGCTAAACCTGAGGCACCAGAATATTGTGATTCTGATGAAGAAAGTGACTAATATTTATATTATATGTGCACATATGTATATATTATATTGTATCATAAAATATATAATTGAAATTATTCTCTTCTCCTTCTGTTTTCGTTATTTTTTCCTGTTGATCTATTGTCATATGTGTTTTTTACAGAATGGATGGAGGACTTCTACAATGTCTTAGGCTGTACTATGAATGCTACTGAGGATGAGATTAAACGGTTTGTTAACCAGGCACGACTGAAGTTTCACCCTGATAAAAATTCAGGTACTTCAAGGAAAGAATTTCTAGTGGTGGAAAGGGCATGGAGTATACTACAATGTCCAGAAAAACGTAAAGTTTACGATGCTTTGTTAAAGCAGAGTAAAGTTTTGTCACATTCTGGTGGATTACCTGTGCAAGGTGATATACCACTCAGTGAATTTCATCGTGAGTTAACATCTCCTGATAGTGCCTTAAATTTTGAACCGGGTAATGAAGATTGCAGTATTTATTGGTTGCCATGTCGTTGTGGTGGGAATTATATCTTAGACAATCTTTCTGTGCTGTGTCAAGTCTTGTATGCCAAGTGTACTGACTGTTCCCTACTCGTACGTGTCCTGTATCCAGAATCGTATTCATAAAGTTATTCTAAGACTGGTTACCTCTTATTTATATTTTTATGTAACGAAATATTTTCAAGAATATATTTTTATGTTTGCATTTTCATAGTTTTGTTAATTCCTCATAACCGTTGTGCCTTTCTGATTGTAGTTCGTTGACTTAAATGTCGGCAGAGGTGGACGATGAATTCGAAGTTCCATCTGTTCCTGCACCTTTCAAGGGATTAGAGAAAGATAGAATTGAAACAAGAAAAAGGCAAGCACTATTTCTTCGTCAGTCTTCGCGCATAGTTGAGAGATTCGCTCACAATCCAGTTAGTGTTGCTATGTTAGCTTGCGCTGTAAGTAACGCACTATTCATTGCTGTCATGTTTATTGTTTTGTTTCTTCTCTGTGTCTCTTTGCAATATGATCTAGGGTTCAGTTGTTTTTCGCTTTAGAATGAATAAAATATCTTGTAGTTATTGTCAGCATTTGCAGTAATGGGTTTCCTCTACGTTTATTTCCTTTTTTGAAGGCTGAAGAACTCATGATAGAAAACTCAAAACCTGAATTTCGGGGGTTTGTGGGGATTTAGAGATATTTCAAGATGGTATTCACCGTAGACTGACATCAGTTAGAGGAACAACAGGAACCCGGGAGCACTAAACAACTGTTTCTTATTAGTGTGGGACTCTTCAGCAGTGTGCAGCCACGACCCCATCAAGGATCGAACCCGCGACCTTTAGGTCCTATAACCAGCACGTTACCATTCAGCCACCGGGTCGAAATCCAATGGTTCATATTTCCAACTTCTGTCAGTTCATGATATAGTGCGACCGTCACCCAATGTCATCGTTGAGTATTTGTCATCACGGCCACCAGGTTTGCCCTACTAGTCGCGACTCCTCACTGGGACTTCGGGAATCACCTCTCAAAGCTAGTCACCAATGAGTACTAGTTCAATTGAATTTGGGGGCTTGTAGGGATTTAGAGGTATTTCAAGTCGGTATTCATCGTGACCAGTGGGGCAAACCTGGTGACCCATGTGGACAAATACTCAACGATGACATTGGGTGACGGTCACGCTATGTCGTGAACTGATAGAAGTTGAAATATGAACCATTGGATTTCGACCCATTGGCTGAATGGTAACGTGCTGGTTATGGGACCTAAAGGTCGCGGGTTCTATCCTTGATGGGGTCGTGGCTGCACACTGCTGAGAGTCCCATACTAATACGAAACAGCTGTTTAGTGCTCCCAGGTTTCCGTTGTTCCTCCAACTGATATCAGTCTACGATGAATACCAACTTGAAACTAAAAAACTTACTAGGTTATGTAATTGATGTTTACACTTGATTTTTATTGGCGTTTGTAGGGCAAAGAGCTATGTATAGGGAACAAAATGTGCGTGAAAATAAAGAAAAAGGATGGCTGATAGTTTATTATTTAAGGGAGATGAATACTTAATTTTGAAACATAATATAAAAGTTTCTGACCACAAATTTGAAGTCATCCAATATTTTTGAATTGATATTTGCTTGCAACTTTGTCATGTACACTAAAACAAACTGTTATCTCCAATCAGACTTAAACAGTAGCTAGACTGGCTATCATTTATCTGAAAATTACCAGAATCCACATTTTTAGGACTATTTGTAAACTTTCATGAACGAAAAGCAGCAAAATCTGACTTTAGCTGAAGAATTAATACTTATTTGTGATTAATCCATACCTACAAACACTACTAAGTTCGATTCCTGTATTATTTATTGAGCGTAATATCTTATTAATCTTTGTGATTCACCGTTTATTATTATACCTTCAGTTTTATTGATATATTTGGATGACAGGTTGAAAGTACTTCAACACCTGTAGCACGGATAGTTTAAAGTCAGGCTGTAAGCTTTCGACTACATATTCCAAATGTGTTATTTTATAAATAAATAAATATTTTATTTTCAAATTAACAGTTTAACATGAGAGAAGCCAGTTTACAGGCATCATCAAATTGATAATGGTAAAGAAACCTCCAGTAGTTGAGCTATCCTGAATGATACAGAAGGTATCACATTACGGTCTATAATGATAATAAAAGTGACTACAAGTTATGAAAAGAACAGAAAAATATCACTTCACAGTACATTCAGATTGTTTATGTGTTTCGGTGATAATCTAACTTCTTGGATTTATCGAATACTGATACATAAATTTTTTGCAAATGCTGTATAATTTATGAATTAGTTAGAGGAGATTGATTAGCTGTTTTCGAATGCTATAAGTCAAGTGAGCAATATTCTCTAGTTGTTAAAAGTTATCATGCATTGCACCTTAACTAAGTAAAGGTATCTAGAAATTAAGTGAAGCTGCTTGTATACGAAAATTCGAATGACTATATTTTATGAAACATATACTTTACAGGCGTTATTGAATTTCTGCCTGTCACTAATGCGCTGAATGATAGAGGGACAATAAGGGACTACGCCTAACAAGCATAAATCGTGGTGCAGTTTTCAAAGTAGGGTTCTCATGTAGGAAACTAATTTCTACGGCCTGTACTATGTTTTAACAAAATTTAACATATTCCTGTATTTGATGAATATATTTATCGTAAACAAACTATAGATTTATCACAATTTGAGTAATTTCATACATTTATATCCCTTGAGATATTTGAATGAAGCGGGAAGGATGAAATTTGTAGGATAATATATAATTTTGTTTCACGAGTACACTCCTCAGCCGCACACAGTTTATAAGTATAATGCTCACTAGGATATATTTCAAAATTAAAAAATCGGTAATCTTAAGTTTTATAATCCACGTAAAATATAAGAGAACTAGTTGCACTGACGAGTAAGAAATGCAGGAAAGGAAAGATAATAAATAAATAAAAAGATATGAAAATTAAACAGGATCAAATCATTGTTGACCTCTGTTGGCAGATGTGCTCCTATGCGGATGCCTCGATACTGTTAGATGTTCATGATGTTATATTGATTTTGGCGACTAGCAGAGGAATCCAAGGTGCGCGTTTCGTCCTATTTGGGATTCTTCAGAGGTCGAGTCATTTGGCCCTGCAAAGCAACAGAAAATTACAACTGTCATAACAACTACTGATACCCATTGCACAAGAGATGGCTATCGTACCTCAGTGGCCTAGTGGATAACACTCGGTGTTTGAAGCGATGGATTCTGAGTTTGCGTCCCTGTGGAAACAACACTCACTGGGGTCCAGCTGCATCCAGATGATGAGCCCCAGAGACACGTGTCCTGGATTCCTCTGCTGGTCACCAAGATCAATATAGGACCAAATCATATTCACCAAGGGAGTGAAAAATTTACCACTCTCTCCATATATATGCGAAAGTCAGGTTAGAATGTTTTATTCCAATCGCTTCCACGGAACGCAGTTATCCAGATATATCCTGTACATGTATTATTCTATAAGCACTCGAGGTTTCAACTGGATGTCCTGTGTCTAAAAGGAGTCTGGGAATTCTACTAGTTAAAATTCTACTTTTTTTCAGGCACAAATTTTTGGCGGTTTGCTCGACAAACTTGTACTTGCTACCACAAGTGCATGTTAATTCATAAATATACTTAGAGGTGAGATGAATAGGGTAATTATTCAATTTTGACTGGTTTAACAAGTCTGTGGTATTGAACATTGGAAGGACTGACAGGAAATGCGTTCATTCGGTTCACTGAGCATATCCCTATGAATCTGTTCTTGAAAGGAAGTAGAATTCTAACTAGTGGAATTCCCAGACTCCTCGTAGACACAAGACATCAAGTTTAAACCTTTAGTACTTTTATAATAATATATGTACAGAAAATGTCTGGATTACTGCGTTTCATGGAAGCGATTACATTAAAATACTTTCAACTTGTCCTTTGCATATAGATGGAGAGTGTGGTTAGTCTCTCACTCCCTTGATGAATGTGATTGGATCGTATTTTATTTATTTTTTTTATATATCTCTTTGTTTATTAATTTATTATGTTTTCTTCCTTACATTTATCACTGGTCTGTACAATTGGTTCTCTTATATGTTATGCGGATTACCAGTGATTTTGTTAACAACTTAAAATTTTTGATGTCTCAATTTTGAAATATCTTAATGTCCATTACACTTTTTTACTGTATGCGGCTGAAGGAGTACCCATGAAACAGAAATATCTTACTGTATCCTAAAAATTTCGTCCTTCTCCCTTTATCCAAATAAAGTATTTTCATTTTGATGATCAGAGTATTGTTATTCAAGTCGTATAAAGTCCTTATAATTAGTGAATTATCAACCAGTATGAAATTTTATGCCTTTAGACTAACAAGTCACTAACGGATAGGTAAATTGTGTTTATCTTAGTGACTAAAACGTTAGTGAAATCGAAGGTACTTTCTTAAATTGAAGGCCAAAGATTATTATTATTTGTCCGTTGGGTTCCTAATGGAACATAGGACTTCAGTAGCACGTCCACATTCCACTCTCTTCTCTGCAATCTTTTGAACCCGGCTCCACGACAACCCAGAAGCTCTCATTTCTTCCTCATATGGTCTCTATGTCACCCTCGGACGCCCATCTGGGTTCCACTCATGGGACTGGCGCGTGATGTCTCCAGTCGGCCTTCTCAGTGCATGCCCCGTCCAATCCATCTCCACTTCCTTCTAGTGCATATTTGTTCAGCGATAGCTTGTTGCTTCGTTGGTTCGTTGCCCGACCAGTCAGAGTTCCTTGTTACTTATTCCTGTTATTCTGGCAATCCATTTGATCTTCAGTAACGAGCGTAGGCAGTTAAAATCATGTATATTAACGTATGGTTAAAGCAGTGCAACAAAATCTGACCATTGTAAATAATCTCTAGTGAACTAAAGAAAAAAGGCATAACTTACTGACAAAATACGTCTTTCATGGTGACTTTTAATACTAAAGATTTGACCAGCTGTAATGCTCTACCATGTGAGTGTTGCATCCATTTGGACTGGTAATTTTAACACTGTAATAAACATTTAGTAAAATATACACCTGTGGAAGGATTTTGGAAAGGGTGTATGGCATAATTGACTCATTTCTTAACTAATTTTGTAATTGTATATTGAAAAGACAGAAGTAAAACAAGTTTAACTTTATGTACGTGTATTAATAGTAAGGTTTTCTTATATTAAGTTCAGTCCATTATATCTTTAAATTTTACGTAAATTTTTATTAAATTTAATCAGAATATTCAAGAAGTAACTTTTTATTGATGAATTATTTAATATTTACCACTTTTTACTTATTTACTAATAATTGATCCAAGTTCTCATAATTCTGTGTTATTATCAATTTCAGTTACCGTGGTTGGAACGTGAACAGTATGATGATATTGCAGTAGAACGAAATGCTTACGGAAATTGTGGTTATGCTTTATGTTGTAACTCTAGAAGTGAAACAACTAGTAAACAACAGTATCGTATATGCACAGCTACACGTCGAGTTTATGATATTACTAAACGTAGAGTAAGTTTTGGATTTGTTTTTCTTTTTTCTTCTATTCACAAATAATAATTATGAATATCATGATAATTTGTGGAATAAGGGACTCTTGAAGGAGAATTGTAATGAAAGGAAAGGAACTTCTTTCTCTTCAGTTTTTATACGAACATATTTGTAGTTGTAACACCCTAGTGTTGTTGATAACCTGGTTGACATCATACCACTGACAAAGTTAGTTAATTTATGTACGCTTAGATACGATAACATCCTAAAAGCTTGGTAGAAGTGTTTAGCATTTAGAGAAAATGGGACAGTTATAATAAAGTTGAGAGTTTATATTTTTCAAAAAAAATACGAAAATAAAAGTGTTTAACTTTTAAACAAAGAGTTCAGGTTTCAGTGATGATTCATTTCTACTTTTACTACACTTGATCCAACTCACTCTCATTGATTTCAAGCTACTCACTTTAATATAACCGATAGTTTATCAAAGATTATAGAGGATCATAAATTCACCCCTTATAGAAACACTTGTTGTATAGTTATTCCCTGAAGTTTTGGCTCATTGCCTACTGCACAAACGTACATATGGTTACTGAGTACATTTCGTTTTCGTTTATTTCTTGTATTAGTATTCATAAATAATATTCTAGCTAAATATATACACGTTAACTATTTTGAATAGTTACTTCCGAAGTTTTTCTCATGTTGTCACTTGCTGTTATTTTACATGTAAACTCTCAACTACTGAGTATATTTGATTGTTTTGTTCTTCTCTTGACTAGTAGGATTCAACTTCGCAAAACTGAAATTTTGTTCACTATGCATTGTTTCCCATTAGATCAATATTTGATGTGGCATCACTGCCAATATTACTGCTTCTTGCCATTATACTGTTAGGTTTTGCTTCCACCTGGTCAAAGGTGCAATTACTTGCCGTATCTCCTGTTGGATCTCAGAGTTCAGTCCTGAAGTCATTAATGATGACTCTAGGGTTGCGAAGAATTCTGTTTCTGAAGCGCCTCTCGTATTGTAATTTGGTTCTTTCTGAAGAAGAAGTTCCTCGGATTTGGTCAGAGATTGTTCGGATAAGTTGACTACACAGTCACTTACTTCTTCCCCTTCTAGTGCTCGTAGTTGCCAGAACATGCTGATGTAGACACTTGAGAAGAAAATATAGTCGTCCTCTTGTGGACACCTGCCTCTTGATAAAGTTCTCCCCTTTCCGAATAATGAGAAGCGTTTGACGCTCGTAAGATTTTGAGATGATGGGGAATATTTAAAGTTTGTCCTGATGGATATTGTCTAGAATGATACTGAGAGCTTCACTATTAAGCCATCCAGCTTAGAGAACACAACACTATCAAAACTTACTGTCCTTTAGTCAGTTTGCCTGTATATCCAAAGGCTACTTCGAAATTTTATTGTTTGCTAAGCTTTTTTCTTTAATTAGTTTTCTCTCTTTGTGTACCTCGTAATTTTTTCATAATACAAACTGTTTTAAATGGTTTAACTTACTGTGGCAAAAATGCATATCGTGGATTCCACTACTAACCGGTACAGAATAATAATGTTTTATCGATGATACTATCAACTAATCTTCGCTAAAAACTGCATAACTTGATAAAAGGCATTTACTTCAGTTTTGTAAATCAACATGGAAAGTAAAAAGTCTAACGTTTCATCAACTGTTGTGTGTAGTGATTGTTTAACATTAGTTCATTGGTGTTTTGCAGGTTTAGTTCACCTCTAAGGTACGATTGATAGATTGCAGTGATCGTATTAGTTTGAGTGGTTATCTGAACTGTATTAAGAGTTACACAACTGATGTTTTTTTCGCTTTACTCTTTGAATAATTTAAAGTTGATGAAGTACATGGCAGTAGTTCTGCATCTGTAATATACGTTAAGTAGTGTATATCACGCTCACACGCAGAAGGTCTGGAAGGAAGGGAAGGTACCTGGCGATTGGAAGAAGGGCTACCTTGTCAAGCTCGCGAAGAAGGGAGACCTCAGTGTTTGCAAGAACTGGCGCGGAAGCATTCTCCTGTCCACCCCGAGCAAAATATTAGGCCGCATCATCCTGGAGAGACTAAAGGATGCACTGGATTCAAAATTACGACCGGAACAGATTGGATTCAAGAAGTACAAATCATGTACAGACCAAATTGCAACGCTACACTACTCATCATCATAGAACAGAGTATAGAATGGCAGTCAACCGTCTACCTCAACTTCATCAACTTTGAGAAGGCCTTTGACAGTGTCGACCGAGAAGTAATTTAACAGCTGCCTCAACGCTACGGAACACCACAAACCTTTATCAACCTCATTCAACAACTATGTGAAGACGCCACATGTCAAGTAATTCACAATAGGAAGCTCAGTGATGTCTTTGAAGTGGAGACAGGAGTGAGACAAGGCTGCCTACTATTACCCATGATCTTCCTGATTATAGTGGACTGGATCATGCAGCAGAGAACAGTGAGGAACAAGAAGAGAGGGATACGCTGGACCGGGGAAAATAACCTAGAATGTTTGGATTTCGCCGATGACTTATGTCTAATGTCACACAAACTTGAAGATCTACAGGTGAAAACTAACAAGTTGACAGAAGAGGCAGGGCAGGGCAGGGCAGGGCAGCGAAGATGAGACTTCAAGTGAATGCGAAGAAGACAGAAGTGATGAAGATATCCAACCAACACCACCAACAACAACAAGCTCCAATCACCACCAACGGGTGAAACTTAAAGGAAGTAGCCTCTTTCACCTATCTAGACAGCACTGTTTCAACTACAGGTGGCACAGGTACAAACGAGGACGTCAAAGCGGTCAGGATCGAAAAAGCAAGACAGGCATTCATTAACCTGAAATCAGTGTGGAGATGTGCACTCAGCATAAAGCGTCAACAATATCCGGATTTTCAACACCAACGTCAAGTCAGGGCTTGTATATGGCTCAGAGACTTGGCGTGTTACGAAAGGGATTTCCAACAAACTACAGACATTCATCAACAACTGCCGCCTAAGCTGGCTCGTTACTGAAGATCAAATGGATTGTCAGAAAGAATAAGCAACAAGGAACTCTGGCCGGGCAACGAACCAAAGAAGCAACAAGCTATCGCTGAACAAATATGCACTGGAAGGAAGTGGAGATAGATTGGATGGGGCATGCACTGAGAAGACCGATTGGGGACATCACTCGTCAGGTCAGGCACTCGAGTGGAACCCAGGTGGGAAGCGGCGAGTTGGACGTCCGAGGTGAGGGTGATATGGAGGAGATCGTATGAGGAAGAAATGAGAGCTTGTGGGCATTCGTAGCGACAGGTTCAAAAGATTGCAGAGAAGAGAGTGGAATGAAGACGTGCTACTGAAGCCCTATGTTTCATTAGGAACCCAAGGGATAAATAATGAAAGTAATAATAGTGTATATCACAGTGAAATGTGTCAATCGTTATTTCTCATCAGTAGGTTATGGTGTATGTCACTTACTTGGATTACTGTCAAACTGAGTATTATTCTCAAGTAAATGAATTGGATGTTTTTACTTATTTGTTGGTATACTCGTAGTTGTCCGTTGTTATACTGGATTGAATTGGTCGACTTCTGTTGGCATATGGGTGTCTATGCGGATGCCTCGATATTGCTTGAATATTTATTGTCATAACTGACCTGATTGTGGTTAGCATTGGAAACTCATGTCCTTGATTCCACTGCTAACAGAGAATTACAAGCATCAGCAAATAATAATGATTAATATCCGTTATACAACAGGTGACTATCGTACCCCAGTGGCCTAGTGAATAACACTTTGATGTTTCAAGCGATGAGTGTGCGGTTCTAATCTTAGTGGGAACAACATCACTCACTTGGGTCCAAGTAAATCCAGCCGATGAGTTCCAAATAGGGCGAAGTACATATCCTGGTTTCCGTTGTTAGCTACAACCAAATCAGTAATGTTTTTACTTACCTAAAAAAGAAAAAATTGTCCTACTGAAAGTATACAATTCCTTTGAATTCACCGAACATTTTAATTAATTTTTTAAAAACCTTGTGGTATACTGATTATAATCATCTTAGGGTTAAGTTATTTTTTTGTGAAGCTGTTTCGAATGAATGAAATGAATAAAGACTTCATCTATCAGTTTTAACAATACTAACATTTTCAAAAAGTTGATCATAATCGTCAGAAGAAAACACAGTCTACAAAGTGAAAGCTTAACCTGAATGACTATTTTAACTGTTCAGGCTAGCCGTCAAGAAGATAAGCAATAATATATGCCAAGTCATACTTTGTGAATGAGTCCAACCATTTATCATCTCTTATTGAAATTTCATGAATTTATGATATGACAATTAGATATAAATCTAGATAATCAGAACTCAAATGTATTGACTAATTAGACACTTCATATCACTAGAGCCAAAACTGTTTACAAGTGAAGTAACTGTTAGTTATCTTCGCATAGTTTCACATATTTTCCGTATAATTCAAGTTGTTATTAATCGAAGACTGACATCAGTTGGAGGAACAAAGGAAACCTGGGAGCACTGGACAGCTGTTTCGTCCTAGTATGGGACTCCTCAGCAGTGCGCACCCGTATAATTGTTTAATTTTAATAAATTCTAAGTTAATTTTCCCTTCATTTCATTTTTCATTTGGAAAGATTGTAAGTTACTATCACTTGAGTAAAAGAAGTCGTTAGCTGGCTATTGTGAATACTATCAGTCGGCTCAGTTGTATCTTTAGTTTAAGTTGCTAGTGTATTCTTGGAGTATGCAGACGATATTGTTGTCCTGACTGAAGACAGTGACAAAATACAGTCTTCCAGTCGCCTTGAGCAGAAGTCTGAGTATATTTGACATGCGTTTCTCTGGCACCTGTCAAATATATGATGCTCCAGGACTGATGTGTTAAAAATACTCTCAGTTTAATGATAGGAGGTGAAGTGGAATGTGTCCACCACTTCGCGTACATGGGGAGTTACATCAGACTGGTTGCTGACGAAATCTCAGCCTGCATGCAGAACGCCCGTTCTGCACTTGCCAAGTTACATCGCTTGTGGTGCCGACTGGAGATATCCCACTACCTATCAAAGGATGAGTTTAATGCTTTGCAGTCCGTTCTATCCTGTTATACGAGTGTTAGACATGCCCGTTACAAGTAGACGACATGAAGTGGTTGCAAGGTTTTGATCATAGGTGTCTTCGTGCATTGTTTGCGTGTGTCGGAATCACCTTATTAACAATGTTGAGGTCAGGCGAAAGGTACTAGGCGAGATGGGCGAATTGGATGATGAGGTTGTGAACCTTAGTCAACTGACGTGGCTTGGACATGTACTGGACATACTGAGCCACCACCTAACTCGATGTGTCGTGCTAAGGGAAGTTGGATCAAGTTGTAAGAGGGTTGAAGATGGGCATAGCAAGATGTGGCACCAGTTGATGAAGTCACTTACTGTTGGGCTGAGGCGTGTTGGAATATATGGACTGCCTGACTGGGTCTCTGACGCGAAGGGAATCAGTGGTTGAGGACACCTGGTGACATATCTGAAAATGAGTCGCCATGTTGCAGATGTATTCACTTTTTGATTTATTCTAAAGCTTGAGTATTCACATTGACCATTATTTTCCGATCGTTCGTTCTCTTACACTACTTAATCCTTGGTATCCCTCTTTTTCCATCCACCTGTTCTTTGTATACTTCTATGAATTAAGGGAACTTGAGCCAATGCACTTGTGTACGAGGTTCTACGTTGATTTTGTTTGTCTGTTTGTATTTTTGAACTGTAATTTGTTTCTATTTTAAATACTAATTAACTTTGCAACTGCTAATTCGATTTACTATTCTTGTTTCTTGTAGCCTTTTTGTTCAGACTGGTGTTTTCGAGCCTCCAGTCATATACGCAAACAGATTTCAAAAGAACCTGCTTGGTGTCGTTCATTAGATAGTTTAAAACCTTGTCGTATTGATTTGCTACCTCCTAATGCATCTGGACATGTTGGTAAAGTGATTTTAGATGTTCGAAATCGTTTACGATTGACGGGATCTGAAAGTGATTCAAGCATTGAAAATGAATTAAATTCAAATGATGAATTAGACCTTGTTGAGTATTCGAACGCCATACCTGATCATTCGTGTATGCAACTTGAAATGAATAGTGAAGGGGAACTTCCGGCTTTCGATATACATCCACGTACGGTAGATACTATTAAATCAAAAGCTGCCTCCCATGATAGTGAAACGAAAACATCTAACACATCTTCATCGGATGCCAAACAGATTTTAGTGGGAAATGATATTGACAATGAAAACGATACATCAGATATGCTAGTTAGTGTGAGTGATAGACTTTTAAAACGTTTACGTGATTGGATGACGGAAAAAGCCCTTTCAGTACTTACTACTTATTCGTTTACATCTGAACAGCAGCCAGTTAATAAAATGCATAGTAAAGTTTTGCAACAGTTCTACTCTAAATATGGTTCGTCAAAAAAAGAAAAAAGTCAGGATGAGACTCAGTGTTCTGATGTAAGTTGCAGTTCTTGTTGTCTTGCTTTGGTGAAACTGTATTTTTCATTACCTATCCCCCCGACGTATGAATAATTTTTAACACTTATTTTATCCCTTCAATTCAAAAGTGGTCATATTTAAGACATGTTTTATTAATTATTTGATTTGGAGGTTTGTGGGGATTTATTTATTGATTTCAGGTTGGTATTCATCATAGGCTGACATTAGTTGGGGGAAACACTCGAAACTTGAGAACACTGGACAACTATTTGGTCCTAGTATGAGACTCCTCAACAGTGCGCACCCATGCCCATGACATGGATCGAACCCAGCAGCTTCAGGTTTCACGACTAGCACATCACCATGGTGCCACTGGGTTGAAATACAATGGTCTATATTTCCTACTTCTGTCAGTCCACGATATACCGCGACTTCTATCCAATTCCGTCACTAAGTATCTGTTCACATATCTGACTAGGTTGACCGCACCAGACGAGTGCGTTGATATCTGTCGCTTACTGGTTTGGATGACATACTAACAATACTGTTGGTTTCATCGTGTTCTAGTCCCCGTGGGTTAGCTCTACCCTCAGTTAAACAAAACATCCAAATGGGTTTTATAGTCGGTGCATCCAAACGCCTCAGGTATTATTTACAAAAGCTGGTTAAGACATAGATCATGTCATCAATTTCACCTTTGAGGCAGAACGTGTATGCTGAATCATTTTCATTGGGTAGTCTTGTCATGTGCTTATTTTTAGTCTACTTTTTGTTAACCAAGGAATAAATCGTCTTTGGTGTTTTATTCACTATTTATCAATCAGTTTTACTTCACTTTTTCTATTGTTTATCTCGATGACTTTTGCACCGGTGTAGGTACACACGTTATGCTTATGGACTACCAGTTTCTTTCAGTCTCAGCAACCGGTGGTCATCATGTTAAGAGTTTTTTTTCGAAATAGGGATTGATCCGCTTCGGCTATTTGTTTTGTAAGTTGTTGGTACAAAAGACTAAGTTTTCTTGTTGGTTGTTTTACGATTTGTTGTTATTGTGCACCAACAGCAACCAATCAAGTTCTGCTTTAAAAATGTACGTAGTAATATTATTCTCGATAAAGCAATTGACTCATATAATCTCCTAGGCTGTATGGTCATGCATTTCATATCTCATAGGAATTAGACAATTTTTTACACGTTTAGGTTTATTATACTTTCCAAAATGGTGCCAATAGTTGGTATTTTTCACTATTTGCTGACACCTTGCTAAAAGGAGAATGTTGCCCATTTCGAAAGATATTTTTTGTCTGTTGAATAGTGATCGGAACTTTAACTGTATTTCTTTGTTTACAGATCCACTTACCACGTGTGTCCTACCATTGATTGATTCTGTGTCACCTCAAGTTCTTCGACGACAAATTTTTTTGGATGATGTTAAACGAAGGTAATAATATGATTACTTAGTTTGCATTTTATTCTTGTCATCAAGTAGTTGTAGTTGTACACAACACTCGTACATCAAATTTTTTCTTGATGCATATTCCAACGATTTATTGTATTGTGTACAAAAACAGCCAAACTGAAGGCTAGACATGACTTTTCATTTCTCAATTAAAACCTTCAATCAAACAAGACTAGTCAAATTTATTCTAAAGTTCGTTCAATAGAAATTTGCATGAATGTGATAAAAATTCAAGGAATATGACAGAGACCAACATCGTGATAACAAATAAGCACTGCTGAAAATCTGTAAAGGGATTTAGTGGAAAGGGATCTAAACTGATATGATTTTCAATAGTATAGAGACAGAAAATCACTGAAAGATATTACAACCAATAAGTAAACAGAAATGATCTAGCAGTCTAGAAATAAGTATGGAATTAGTAGGTTTATGAAGCTTTAGAGAATGATGTGAATTACGAACTTGTAATCACTTTTGAACAGTATAACTAGAGGTTTTTAACCAATATGTTTAAACTTGTTTAAGCATAAGTTAGGAAGTATACACTTCTTTGTACAACTCAGATAAAGGGTGAAATGACTTCATATACTGTTGCTATGATTTTATTTAGTCATCTTCAGTCTTCATTCATCCTACTTCAGGTAGCGTTAATTGTCGATATAAACAGTTACTTGATATTTGCAATATATTGGTCAATCGACGTAAGAGTTGATACTGTTGAACTTAAAGGTTAAGAAAGTATTTGTCGGATAAATATTATCAGCATGTATACATTTCAAAGCTTCTTTGCAGTCTCATTTCAACCAACCGTTGACTTACTATAGCAATAAAGTAAATAATTAATCATTTGAAGCAAATAATCAAGAGGAGTATTTTCTCAACACATAGTCTGGTGTAAATGCTGATTATCCCAGAATATTTCCTTTACCTGGAGTATAGGGAAAATTGTTCAATTTCAAATTTATTATTTAGATATAAGACCCCGTGAAAACGCAGTTTTTTTTTTTAAATCGATGTTTGATATGACGTTTAAAAATTACTTTAGTGTAAGTTGTGCTTCAGATTATCATTCCTATTGAATAATCGCCACAATTATAGTCGTATGTTGTGGCAAACTTATTTTGTGGCCATAATTCCACGTGTAACCCTCCATGGGAAGCGACGAGTTGGACGTCCGAGGGTGACATGGAGGAGGTCATGCGAGTAGGAAATGAGAGCTTCTGGGCTGTCGTGGAACCAGGTTCAAAAGATCTCAGAGAACAGAGGTCACTGGAGACGTGCTACTGAAACCCTACGTTCCACTAGGAACCCAAGGGACTAATAATAATATAATAAAATAATACACGTGTAACCATTTATTTCTGACAATTACATATTTCACCTTAGTTTAAAATGCTGAAGAGCATATTTAGATCAGAGATTTAATTTGTTAGTCAAACTAAGAGCGTTTGTACAGCACTAGTAAACGCAATTACAATTGAATTAACCCACCGCATATTTTTTTGCGTTTCTTTTATTCTCAGTATGCATCGAATATTAGATGTTTTACAAGTAAATCCTTATCCTGTATACCGACGATTGGAAAACGCGGTGCTTCACTTCAAGTGAGTTACTTGGTTCATATATTTCGAGTATTTTTGTATATTTAAATTACAAGTTAACTCTACTGATTCTGAGATCTTAACGTTATGAATTACTGTAATTATCTTCACTGAATATGCCTCTTGAATAGTAGCGGTGACCTGCTTGAACTTTGGGCTACCAAAATTATCCACCGAACATTTTTCATCAAATTCTTTCCTTTCAATTTTTTTTTAAGCTATTCAAATGTCTTTTGAATGCATCGTTTACCCTTGCAACTCTCCGTTTCTCTGGTCAACAAGAAAGCAGAGAAAAAAATGTTACGTTATATGAAAATGGACTTTTCACTGCACAGAAGTACATATTTCTATCCGTCAGATACCTAGCTTGGGTTGCAGATTTTTGTGCCGGTTAAATAAACCACCATCACCATCACCACCACCACCAAATTTACGCTTGCATTTCTGTTGATTCTTCATTATGGACCGGATGCTCATCCCAAACCAGCTGGCTATGACATATTATTGCCGTGAATAGTTATTATTAACATCATTCAGACGCAATAATCATTTCATCTGGAAGTATTTTACTGGGAGTGAATTTGTTGAAAATACTGAGAATTCCACACTGTCATATACATTGTTTGAATAAAGCGATTGTTATTTATCTATTATAAACATTCTAACGGTTTTGAATTTAACAAAACAGCTGATTTGCTAAGTGGGTCGACTAATGCCTCAGTTCTAAAGCTGGTTTTTGAGTACGTGCCCACTCTTTTTTCCCATCATTTGTGTACTTTTAAACAGAACTTTGTCTTCCACTGAAGTGTTCAGCTGTATCCTGTCGGTCAAAATTATTCGCTGAATACGTCTTACCAGTCACCTTTGTTGATCTGTTGGTGGGGTTTGCTTTCATTGATCGACAGATGTTTTATTACTATCTAAAGGAAATGCCAAATCATTAAATCATTCTATGTAAAGCTTTGAAATGACAAACATGTGACCGTTTGTGCAACGATGACACGATAAGTGGACCATGACAATTGATTTTTATCAAAAGTATACTCTTCTCATTATATTCAGTGTTGTCGTATTCATGCTTTTCGGGATCACTTTGAGTTAGAGTAGATTGAGCTACAAATAATACGTTAGGAGGATTTCCGACTAGTTCCTGTTTACACTATATCTGATTATACAGCAGTCAGTGGTTGTTTGAACTAGCTGTTGCTGAGGATGTGAATATTCCATCAGTATTTGCCAACTTACATCTATGTGGAACCGAAGCTCAATTGAGTGCATAATACAGAAGTACCCTTTGTTTTCTCTTGTACAAACGAAGGTGTTCGAACAATAAGTTTAAATACCATAAATGTATATTGTATGAGTCAAATTCTTAGTACTGGGAATTTATAGTTGGAGGTACTAGACTACATAATTCATTCTTTACCATTCAATGTCGCAATTTTATCATCATGTATTTTAGTACTGAATGTATAGATGCATCCCAAGTTTGTTAGGAGATTGGTATCCAAGATCTGGCAGATTATAATTCTATTCTATTTCTTTGATTATATTTGGCACATAGTGAAGGTATTATTTATTCCTGACGTTGTGGGCGAAATTTGTTGCGAACAGTAATATTAAGGTATCATATGGTAATAAGCAACGAATTCTACCCGAAACGTCATCAGTTAATATTACTGTCACAGTGTGATTTTATTTATTCGTACACAAACTTGCAACATCATAGGCACCAATTAGATGCATCTCATAGAATAGAACAGCAAAATTCAAACATGAAACGGAAGAGAGAATGAAAACAAAGAGTGTATAATAAATATCCAATCCAGTAGTTGCTACAAATGTCTTGGAAGTATTTGAGCACCGAGACTGATTTACCTATTATGGAAGTTCCAATTTAATTCCAGAATATTTGGAAAATCCTTACAGGATCTTCTTGAACGTTTCGCTGCGTATACCACAGATTCACCAGCAGCATGATCGCCACTGAAACATGTTTGGTATTGTCTCAAGTCACTAGATCTCATAGTCGTTCGGACCGCATCCAGGGACATCTACAGATGTTAACCCAACAAAAGTATCCTTTATCCTACGGCACCACTTCACAATGCGTAAACATAATCAAAGAACCATAACTGCATAATTCTAACTACCCCTGTATACTGCTTAGAAGTGTGCTTACTTGTTACTTTCATATATTATGCTTAAGTGACCTGAGTACGACGTCAAGTAGCAGCATACAAAAAAGAAGAGTTAGAACACTTCTATTAATTAGCTATTAGCAGATTCTGATTTTACTACTCACCGTCTCATGATGTTGTTTTTTCTTATTGACTTTAGTCTTACTAACAAAAATCTACATATGAACCCATCTGAGAGACAGCTTGTGGCCTTGGTACTCCTACGTCTCATGGCAAATGTAGAGTCTAGTCTGATACAACTCACAAATGATGAATGCATAACACACCTCCTAAAGTCAATGAATGGACCCTCTCTGTTGATATTCATAAACAAAATTATTAACCAAGCAATGAGATTTTATCACATGGATTCCGATGATGATCCTGTATCAGAAACTTGAAAGATGTAACTACTTCTCTCTCCCACATTTTGCAGTTTATGACCCGAAATTGGTTGAAACAAATCTCATCTTGACCATACGCCTAATTATGGACAATTAATTGACAGTTTGAATCCGGCCATTGTACAAGATTTACATTTTAAAGTTCCATGACAAACTGTAATCGAATGAAAACGAAGAATTTACTGTAATAGAACATGGTCACTGTGGCTAAATGCAGTGGTCACTAAAAAGACTAATTTTCTCTTGACTTCGTGTTTACATCATGTAGTCTCCTGCATAGTTTTAAATACTGGTGTACTGTGAACAATTTGAATCATACATTAAATAAGATTTGTGCTTTTACTTTTCAAATATTTAGAAGAACGCTAATAATGGTTTGATCACTTTTCATTTCCATGAGTACATCAACTGAGCCGATTCAATGGAAAGATAGGGATAAGCTGTTAAATGTTTAATTAGCTGATCTTGTTGTTTATTTCACTACTCAGAGCAATCTATCAGTATTCATATACACGCCTTTTGACTTTACACGTCCAACCCATATGCCCTCATAAATTGATTTCAGGTGAACTTGACAGATGCAAAGGCCAATCACTAATTATTCTTACTTGTAATATTTCCATGAGTACGAGATCAAGAAAGAACACAATAGAGTAGCGCCAGGTGGGAATAATATATTTTATAAACCGTCCCTAAATGCCGATGCGTTTCGACTAACTGGCTAGAGGAAAGCCTACGAACAGAGAAACTTTACACGACAACGCACCAAATGGCGTAGATGCTTGACTGTGTATCTTCAGCTTAGTGAGCCCGTCAAAACTATGGAGGTTCAGCATCAATGCTGAAACTCATCGAATTCTGGGCTATTGATTTTGGGGAAATTGCTAGCCGCTACAAGCTTTGAAGTAACTCATTTTTAGATCATCAGTACTGAATGTTAAACAGCGAAATCAACGCAAGATCAGTAATTGTTCACCACAATTTTAAAATAATACTATCAACTACTACTAAACCACTCAAGCCTTACAATAAACCCCTACTAGATGAAATGAGCCCAAAACAAACTGTAATTCGCATTATTATAGTTGTAAAAGAAACAACGGTACAGTAATGTGGTTTTTTAATATAAACCGGAATATGCTTATTACAGAGGAATAAACTGCATGCTAAAATAGTTTAGCATCGCGGTGAATGTTGTTGGAAGCATGACACATGCACCAATTAGTGGAGTAGCAGGACCTAACATGTACAGAATTCTTCTTTATCGAAATCCTTTGATCATGCGTTCAAAAATAGCCGTAAAATGTAAATTAGCAGCTTAGTTGTAAAAATGTCATATTTAAAAACCTTTGTTCAGCGTACAAAAGTTTCATCTGTTTGTTTAAGAATTGTTTTAACTAGTGTACTTTGACAAATAAAAAATATGTACAAGTTTTATGGTAATATTTAGGCAACTGGGTCGAGAGGACGGTTGAAACCCCCGCGGCGATTCATATACTGACGGTACTTCCTCTGCTTTGCTATGTTAGCTACGTAGATGCTGTTACCAACCACATGCTTTCCTTTAGTAGTGCTGAAATTACAGAAGCCCATATTGCGCATCATTTCTGCTTCCTCCTCAGTTATAGGCTCAGATGGTTCGACTGAAAAACAAACAGTTACCTTTAAAATATCTTTTACCTTCTTCATATTCCACAACTTCAGTCTCCACGTTAGACACAGGACTCGTAGAACGTGAACGACGCTTCCATCTTTCATCGCTATGATTGCGTTCATGTCTACGTCGCCCATCTCGCTCTTTTTTCTTTTCTTTATCATGCCGGTATCGGTCTCTGTCTAAATCCCTTTCCTCATAACCGTAGTCACGATCTTTACGATGGTAATCATCTCGATGTTTCCGCGAACGTTCGTAATTATCTCCACGGTCTCTATATCGTTCATGAGATCTAGATCGGGCGCGCCTTTCGTGGTCTGCAAAAACAAGAAAAACCACAGAGTAACATACTAATTAACTGTGTTCAGACACAGCTAACTTGCAGTAGAGAAAATTTAGGAGCTGACGTCAGAAATTTATTTGACATACGAAGTGCCTATTTTACCACTAGTTTATGTAAATCCCATAGGAATAAGATAATGCAATGTTCATAAGAAGGTAATGAAGTCATATAGGTGTGATAGGCGCTAGAGTGTGTCATAGTAAACAGAGATGTGAAAATTTACTGGCTGTCTATTCACTTTTACTGTCGATTAACCGTTAATAATTCGTTTAGATACTAATTCATATTATTTTCGGTTTCATTCTTCGACGTCGATTTTATTAGATATTGTGATAAGTTACTATCCATTTTTAATCTTCTTGATCATAAATCAGTTTGAATTTCGGGAGCAGCAATAACCCGAGTGTGGCCAGTCAGTCTTACTCTCGAGCCTGTTAGGTATCGGACAATATGGATCCAAGCATCTTAGACTCGAAGTTAGTTAAACTAATCTCTCCATGGTTGTCACAAGAAGGCTTCTCAGTGAAGTAGACCTGTCTGACGAGACTGCTTTGACTTTCTACACACTATCTAGTAACTCCGTCACTCACTGATTTCCTACCTCCTACCTTAAGATTTTCCCGTAGCGAACGGTCGGTTCCTGCTGCTTTGGGTCATTTCAGGTTAGAAACAGCCTTCACAACTTCGAGAGTTGGAGGATCAAAATCTACGTTCCATTCAGCTTCGCGCTGTATGCTGGGCAACTGAAACGTTTCTGTGGGCCAGTTGAACTAAGCTTCAGTGTCCCCCCCCCCAACGTCCTAGCCCTCCGTCCTTAAAGGTTACTAGCGTCCTATCCTCTTCGATGATAGCCGTACTAGCCATCGTTTTCTTCTTGGCGGTATCCTTAATAAGCCTCAGTAGTTGCCTGGGATTACCAGACACTGATGTCTTCCTCATCTCTCGCCACCCACCACTGCTCGCAATCTTTGCGAGGACTCTTGGTTAATTTGTGTTTAAGTTGCTTTCGCTCTTCATTGTGGTTGAGAGCCAGCCAGAATCTTTCATCAAGCAGTTCTGATTAGGTTGCGAAAATCCACAGACGTTTGTAATCCTTTGGTACGGGATACTAACTGTCTTTTCAGCTGTTTCAACAATAGGCTGAATATCACGCCAGGTTTTCTCAGGATGGAGATCACTCTCACTCCCAGATGAATGCTTGTCTATCTCCCCTCTAAACGCGTACTTGACGTTCTCATTTCCTGACCAGGCATACATAGGTCTAACTGCCGCTTTTTGTCTGCGACCAGTTAGGCACAAACACACATGCCCGTACTAACGCGTGATCGAAGTTCGAGCAGGTACACCAGAAGCAGTATCAGTTCTTCCAAACGATGGCTTATAACAATATGATCTGTGTCCATCATTGGTTTGAAGTCGGCGGACACCATGTGAAACTGTCTCTTCTTATGCTTAAAGTTGGAGCATGCCCGAAACAAGTGATTGCTAGAAAATTACTTTAAGAGAAAATCTCCGTTGCCGGTTAGTTACCAAAGGATTCCGTAGATAACTCCACGACGTCTTTCCGATTGACTTAGTTTTCTTACTTGAGGGTTAAAGTCATCTGCTACTCTGACTACTTCTATCGCGAAATCTACAGCTTTTGATAGGATTCATACTTTGCATCACCTGAATTGCAATCTGTGGGCCCATAGGTGGAGACTACGAACAGGCATCGGCTAGTTTCATGCTTCTTCCTGGTTCTTACAGATCGATTCGTCTGAACACCACAAAGATGGCTGTGTTGGTAACCCGTCGAAGAGTTCGCTCTCCACTCGACAACTAAGTGCCATACCTACATCGCTGAGTCCACCGGAAGTTCGTGGGGCAGAACTTTCTGGCATGGTAAGACCTCGAGGTACAAGTGTTCCACCAGCATAGCTTGTTGGGTCACTGTGATGTGCAAGCCCGACCACTACTTTGAGGTAGCAACTATCGGCGGTATAACTGGTATCTGGAAGTGAAGGCAAAGGAGACAGAGACGATGAAATTAGGTTATAGTTGGCTGGGTTTTGTATGGTGCTCAAAGCAAGTAGGCATGCGGTAATACCATGGGAGTTGTTTCTGCAAGGTACCTGAAAGAAAAAGAGGAATAGTTCTGCGTGACCATAGTCAGTGCGACGTTTGCTTACGGCCTACCACACAAGGTCTTCTGGTGATTGTTAGATTGAGATTTATTTGTACCAACGCCGGAGAAACATTCCATACCGTATCCCCTGGAAGACCACAGAGTAGAAGAGAAGTGAGCTGTTTTCGACGTCGAACTTTTCCAACTTACTCTCTCATAGAGAAGGTAGTATCACGATGGACTGCTGGTTATACGAGAAACAACTTACTCCTGCCACTCTTTCCAGCGAGCAGTACAACTTCAATCTCGGTCGCCCATGATAGCATCGCCATTAACACTATGACGGTAGTTTCTTCGTCTTACCACTATCCAACAAACCTTTTTGGTAAGATACGACCTCCAGGAACAAATCATGACTAGTACTGGAGGTATTTAAGGATAGTGGTCGAAGATCTTTAGTCAAGTTAACTGAAGTGTTAACTAATGTGTGAGTCAAATAGGATCCCCTCTGACTAGTGTCAATCACTGATTGTCTCAGCCCACAGGGAAAGTGAGAAGTCATCTTGCGACAACCACAGAGGAATCAGCTTGACGAACATATTGTCTAAGATTTTAGGTTCTATGATCTTTGGACGTCTTAAAAGAACTCAGGAACACTTAATATAAGAAAGCCAGGTGGGTTTCAAACCTGGTTGGTGTGCATCGACCAGATAATCACTCCACACCAGGTTTTGGGACAGGCACACTACCTGTACCTTTCAACCTGAAGGCGACATTCTACTCTCGATCGAGAGGTCTTATTTTAGCATCTCATTGAAAACAGACTTTAGTAAGAACAACATTCTGTACTTGAACTTCCGTGGGCGTGTTAATCTACGGTGACATATCAGTTGACTAGTCTATCAAGGGTGTTCACTCTCACCGTTATTATTCAACTTCATCGTTGACCTAGTTAAGGAGATCTCCCTTTCATTATTTGACTTAACAGGGATTGATCTTATTGCCGAAGAATCCGTGCTGCATCTATGGTACTCAGATGACAGTCTCGTCAGATGAAGATGCTGACAAGGCTCACAGTTTTACAGACACTTAGGATGGGTATTTGAAAATGTTTGGGATGCGTTTCTCGAAACTCAAATGCAAATTTTCGCTCCATGACTGATCTTCAGTGATGAAACGGTTTAGCGCGTTGACCACTCCACTTGTCTGAGTTGGTACAGTTCTAGTGGGTCAGTGACCGACAAAATCTCAGCACGCATGCAAAAGACCCATTTGTTTTCCGCTAATTCACGCCTTTTATGGCATATTAAGAGTAGTGTACTGCACTGTTCTACTATATGGGTATGAATGACTGACTGACAAAATCGAAATAGAACCTTGCACATAAGTGGGTCGGTTCAAGTTCCTACACTTCACAGAAGTACACAAAGAACAGGTAGACAGGACAAGGGTGATATCGAAGATAACGTAGTGAGAGAGAACAAACAGCTCGAAGATAATGGTCAGCGTGAATATTCAAGCTTTAGAATAAATCAAAAAGTGAATATATCTGCAACATGGCGACTCATTTTCAGGTATGTCACCAGGTGTCCTCAACCACTGATTCCCTTCGCGTCGGAGATCCCAGTCAGGCAGTCCATATATTCCAACACGCCTCAGCCCAACAGTAAGTGACTTCATCAACTGGTGCCACATCTTGCTATGCCCATCCTCAACCCTCTTACAACTTGATCCAACTTCCCTTAGCACGACACATCGAGGTAGGTGGTGGCTTAGTATGTCCAGTACATGTCCAAGCCACGTCAGTTGACTAAGGTTCACAACCTCATCATCCAGTTCGCCCATCTCGCCTAGTACCTTTCGCCTGACCTCAACATTGTTAATAAGGTGATTCCAACACACGCAAACAATGCACGAAGACACCTATGATCAAAACCTTGCAACCACTTCATGTCGTCTACTTGTAACGGGCATGTCTAACACTCGTATAACAGGATAGAACGGACTGCAAAGCATTAAACTCATCCTTTGATAGGTAGTGGGATATCTCCAGTCGGCACACAAGCGATGTAACTTGGCAAGTGCAGAACGGGCGTTCTGCATGTAGGCTGAGATTTCGTCAGCAACCAGTCTGATGTAACTCCCCATGTACGCGAAGTGGTGGACACATTCTACTTCACCTCCTATCATTAAACTGAGAGTATTTGTAACACAGTCCTGGAGCTTCATACATTTGACAGGTGCCGGAGTAAAGCATGCTAACTATGCTCAGATTTCTGGTCAACGCCTTCAAAAGACCCTGCACTTTGTCAATGTATTCACCCAGGAGGACAATATCGTTTGCATATTCTAAGTCAACCAGATAATCTCCAAGGAGTAGGTCAATTCCTGTGAAGTCAGATGTACCTAACATTATGTTTTAGTTCGTCTATGCTGAAGGTAAGGAGAAAAGGTCACAGTGGACGTCCCTGGTGGACAGAACAAGTTGTCAATTTTAAGGATTTCTCTCCACAAGCCGTGATACAGATGCGTGAGTCTGATTAGAGAGCTTTAATTAGCGTTATATACTTACTCGGCATTCCCTTTACAGTCAGAATGCCACAACACCTCACAGCCGAGTCAAATGCCAGCTTCAGATCAAAAAATATGGCAAGTATCGGCCACTGGTAGACATGCCTGCATTTCAAAACCTGTAGGATGAAAATATGATCGATGAACTCTCGTCCAGATTTGAAACCTGCTTGTATTTTCGTATTTGTTCTCGAGTTCCAGTTGCGCGTCCGATAAATATGGACTCTGGGATTTTGGACATAATATTGGTCAAACTAGTTTCCCTATGGTTTCACAACAACATTTCTCCTCCTTCTTATAGACTGTGATGATCCCAGTCTGATGGCTTTATTTCTGATTTCCATACACTACCCACTATCTCCATCACTTTTATAAGCAACTTTCTACCGCCATCTTTGAAAAATTACATCGCTTCGAAACAGGCCTTAAAGGTGAAGGACATGAGAGAGCCTAAGGTATTCAGCGACTGTTGCATTCGTAGCATTGGTGGTATGTCAGAGTGCCGCCATGTCAGTTATGCAGAAGTAAAACGTACAAAAGGGAAATTCTAACATGCCCTATGATCCCTATATAAATATATATATTTATATATACTGCATATATATTGTAGTGAGCAGAAAGCTGCTAATATCACAACTATTCGCACTATTGGTGTGAAAGCTAGTTTTTGAAGACCAATTTTTTTGTGTTCATGCTGCAATGCCAAAACTACTATCAGTGGAATAGTTCACCACTCATTGGCCCTACTACCAAAACCTTAAAACTAACAACTAACCTCTAGGCATTTGTGGCGCTGAATTTTGAAAGCCGCAATTCCTCCAAGGTCTCTAATATCCAATATTGATGGTGCCTGCGTCGGAAACTGATAATTTTTTATCTCTCGCGTCTAGTTCTAAGGGCTTAATTCGAGTCGTTCGGTCCACTCCTGCAGTGAACTAGGAAATCCCTTCTGCTTTCTTGCTATTAGCTTCGGCGAGGTGGATGTTTTGTGGGAAAGTTGTAATTTGTAGAGTGATTGGGATGCTACGGGTTGCTGGGATGGTTAGGAGACTGTCATGACTTCTGTCCATGTAGGTACCTGAAAGAGAATAGTAAGACAGTGGTGGGGGAATAAAGGATAACAAGGAAAATAAAGGAAGAGAAAAAGGAAAAGAAGGAAAGAAAAAAGAGGAAAAGGAGGGCTGGTTAAATGACAAATAGCTACCAGCGGAATAGAATCTTTCGTTAAACTGGCTCCTGCATTTGAAGCCAGTGCCTCACTAGTTCCTGTGGCTGCAAACCTACATACACATAGAAATAAAGCGAAAAACTGTCGTTTTAAATATGAAATTCATGCTAGCTATGAGTGGCCTTCAACTTACTCCTTAGGTACCTGTCATGTTGGTTTGGATCATCTGGCCTGCACCACTCCTGCATCGGAATCCGCCAAAGACCCGAAACCGTTCTGCACGACCAAGAAGCAAGTACTAAGAAATCAGCTGGTTTACTCAAGCTTGCTAGACATATACTGGATACAAATTGTGCCTGATATCCAACTTACTGTTTTATATTCAGTTTGGGTGTCCTTTGGTGTCGCCACTTATATTCAGTAGGTGATGGAGTGGATATCTTGAAGTACTTAAGATATTGCAAGCCATTATGAAGTCATTTTTTAATCTTTAGTGTTCCAGAGGCCATACGTCAAGCGAGACCAAAGGCTCTTCACATGTTTGAGACCTAATCCAGTGAAAATATTTGGTCCCCACCTCTGGATGCAGTCTAGGCCTTGTTTATCCTACTACCGACTTATCTGAGAATTTGTCCAAGGGTCACTAACACCAAGTTTTCATGAAATGCGTTTCTGGCACACTTTGCGTGGAGCTTTCGGTCTCGAGGGGCTAGAACGCCAAAATCCCCTATTGGTGGTGTTTTAACTTCCACCCCGTTAAGGCTATATGCACGACATGCATTGTGGTTTGCACTTCCAACCACGCACCTTTCGAGATTAAATGCTAGCCTATCATTGAATTCCCAGTTTTTAAAATGGGTTATCCTTCTGTAGAAAACAGTGTCTTCCTCGCCTTTGATTTCTCCCCATAGTTTCGGGTCATCGGGAAAAAGGAGTTCGGGAACAAACTTGGTGTGGCGAATAACTTATGTACATTTAAAAACAAGAGACCCTATTGCTCAGCCCTGGTAAACTCCGCCATGATAATCACATGGAGAAACTTATTCGAACTTTACATAAATGGTCATAGATTCGAGGATGGTTGCTTAATGGGTGGTGGTTCCATCCTGGACAATTTTATCTGCTGATAAGAGAGTTTTGGCAAACACGATCAAACACATTAGAAAAGTCTAGACAAATAACATCAATTCGGCACCGATGGCCCACCTTGCAAGTCCATCTCTCCATTGCCGTGAGCAAGTTAGTGACGCAGGAGAATCACTGTCCAATTTCGTGTTGTTGGGGCTTAGACAAGCTAATCGTCATAAGTCAATCCCGCAGTTCACCATAACTTAATGACTGCTTTATTTTAGAAGATATGGACAAGCGCCACGGGTCTGTATTTCCTCGAGCGGATTCGATGACCTCCACTGAAGATCGGTGCCACGTGGTTTAACTCTCAAGATCCAGGCACAACCCGCTGACCCTCGGGATCATTCAATAACTTGCTCAAAGGTTGGTACTCCTTCCTGCGAAGTTGGGGCATGAATTTTATCCGGTCCCCCAAGTGTATCTTTTATGACAGGTAGCTTGTGTAGTACTAGCTTAACACGGGTCGACGACGGAGAGCCCTTCTTGGCTGGTGGGACTTATGTGAACTCCCAGTAGGTGGTGGATAATGGTTAGATTTGCAATACCGATCACTCAGGAGTTCGGTGTCACCACTGATAAGACGATTAAGCCCCAAGGGGTGAGAGAACTCTGCCTGAACAAAGTAGTGGAACAGACCTCTTGGGTTGAGAGACACCTCTAAAAGCCTAGCTTGATGCCGTTGAAAGTCGGTTCTCAGTGCCTCCATGCATGTTTTTTTTAACTTAATGGTCAGCACGTGTGTTCGTTAACACTCCTTTTGTGTTCGAGGGGTGGGGTGGAAATATAGTATGCTTTTGCGCACTAAAAAATCTACTCTCAGGTAACTTGACTCTTTCTGTTTCGTTATTCACTCGTGAAACGATAAGTTGAAAACATTCTAAGAATGTGCGAATGCACATGATGCGTTCGGGAAACATATTTAAATAACTACGATTATTCAAAAAATTGATGTGCCTGGTGACAACTTATTATCATTATCATTTTTCCCTTGGGTTCCCAGAAGGACGAGGGGCTTCAGTAGCACGCCTCAATTGCGCTCCGTTCACTGCAGTATTTTGGACCTGACACCACGGCTGCCCACAAGCTCTCATTTCTTCCGCACATGTTCTCCTCCATGTCACCCTCGTCTCGGACTCCCGACTAGTCGTTTCCTCTTTGAATTTCCCTCGAGGGCCTGGCTGGCGCGTGATGTCCCCAGTCGGCCTTCTCAGTGTATGCTTAATCCATCTCCACTTTCTTCTGCATATTTGTTCGGTGGGGCTTTCTTGGTTGGTTCATTCTCAGGGTTCTCTATTGCCCATTTTTTCTGGCTATCTGATCATCACTACTGAGCGTGGTCAACTGCTGATGAGCATCTGTAGTTTGTTGGGGATGCTTTTCTTAACGCGCCAGGTCTCAACCATATAGAAGCATTGACTTGACGTCGGTGTTGAAGATCTGGATCCTGTTCACGCTGAATGCGGAGTGCAGTGGATTTCAACACAGATTTCAGGTTGACGAAGGTCTATCTTGCATTCTTTCGGATGCTGGATTTGATGACTTGATCCGTGCCTGTGCCCTAGTTTATCCTCCGTTTCAGCATCCTCCTCTCCTGTATCAGCTTCCATGTATCCATCGAGATCCATTCCTTATCTTCTTTCTTCTTCTATCCAAGCACGGTTGTGAAGGCTTCTTTAAACATGGCTTTCAAAGACTTCCAGCGTTCTTCCACACAGATTTCCTCAGGAATGTTGCTTGACGTCCCCTACTTTGTCTTGATGGCCGACGTAAAGATGTCCTTTGTAGTTTTGTCCTTCAGTTCAGTTTCTGGGTGTTGAAGTTGAACTGTGGTTCATCACCAACTTCTTTGAAGATTTTCAACTCGATTTGAAAGGTAGGTTCCTTGCACTAGATAGTGGTCTGAGCCTACATCTGCTCCCCTTCTTGACCTTGTGTCAAGTAGGCTGTCTCCACTTTCTTGAGACTGAGGTAAAGTCGATCTGATTTTTGGTGTATCCTGGTGTCTGGTGAAATCCACGTCGCTTTGTGGATATCCTTGTGCTTGAACACACTGCTCCCAATCACCAAGTCGTTGAATGCACAGAATTCTGCAAATAGCTCTCCATTCTCAATAATTTCATCGAGTCCTTCTCGATCCATGATGAGTTCTCTTCTTGTGTTGTCCGCACCCAGTTTGGCGTTCATGTCGCCCACTAGAATTTTGAAATCGCTACTCGGGTCTTGTCCAATGTTGATTGCAGTTGTCTGTAGAATTCCTCCTTCTTCTCTTCGTCTTCATTATTTGTAGGTGCGTAGCATTGAACGATTATGACTTTCCTTCATTTTTAGTTGAATATGGCTGTCATGATCCTTATGCTGGAGGAGATTGGTTCTCACTGCATAAGGGCCTTTGATGCTCTTGGGGACATCATGATAGCTACCCCAAATCTCAGTGTGCTCGTGGTTGTCGTCCGGGTAACCGGAGTAGATTATTGATTCTCCAGTTGACAGTTTGGAGAGTCCACTCCCATTCCATCTGCTTTCGCAAATTCCAAGCACTTCAATGTGATACCTCCTCATCTCGTTTGTAATCTGGGCTGCCTTGCTGGGTTCAAACATGGTTCTCACATTCCATGTCCCCACGTTTACTTCCGCTTTCATCGTAGTTATTCTGGTGCAAAGAATCTACCTAGGTAGTTGTATGAGCTTTACATACGCAGCAGTTCCAACTCACGACTTTTCTACTTCCACTGAGGGATTTGACTACATACATTTAGATATAGTTGGACCACTGCCTCCTGGCAAAGGCTTCAACCATCTTCTCGTATGCATAGATAGATTTACTCGTTCACCTGACACTGTTCCACTGCCAAACATTTCAGTAGGCAGGTCGCCAAGATGTTAGTGAGTCACCAGAAATTCAAGTTTGGCGTCATCTCAGTCGTCACTACTGATACAGGAGCACAACTTGAAAGCTGCTTATTCCAACAGGTCACTGACTCGATCTTGATTGAACACTTGGTCACAACAGCACAACATTCTGTTTATAATGGTATGGTAGAACTCTTACACAGGCAACTTGAGGTAGCACTCACTGCTGCCTTGATTGACAGACAGTAATGGGCGAAAATTGGGGGAAATTTGAAAAACACGGAGGATTAGGGGGAAAAATGGGGAAAGTGGGAAAATCATGCTGTCATTCTTTTTTGCGATTGTAGCGCGGGCACATTCAGTGTATTAAGATACATTTTGCGTATTTCCTACAGTCACTCATTAGGTACTGAATTTTATGTTTTAGTTGCGTAGGATGAAACAAAATTAACAGCTTTTGTTTTACCGACCGCATCGGACATTGTGAAGCGGCATTAGTGGCGTCGCAGTCTCATGGCATTGAGGTACGTTTGCTGGTTGTAAAAATCTTCAAATTGTGAGCATTTTCTGGAAATTTGTAGTCTAAGTCATTGTCCACTAGTGGCTCAAGGTGCTCTCCTTCTGAAAAGAAGTCTAATTTATCTGGTTGTCATCGGTCTACGATTTGTCGCAG